ACAAGTGATTGTGAAGACCATGTCCTGTATCAGACGCACCTTAGCAAGACCAAAATAAAAAAACTACCAAACTGCCCCTTTTGATGGCTGCTTCCCCAACCAGAACCAAACCAGGAACTGCTGGCAATACTACCTGGATTTCCACTGATGCAAGAAGACGGTGATGTCTCTGTGTACAGTCCCTCTGCCCCTATGTCCTGGGTGTCAGCCTGGGATGACCACGGGGCTGAAGGCATATTCCTTGGGAAGGTTTGAACTGGTCCACCTTACCTCTTTGCTGGAATCTTGAATTGTGACTTAACTGATAATAAAAACTTACTGGAAAAGTAAAACACAAAACAAAATCACAGTATATATGAGTGAAACACAATGTATGTATACAGTGTATACAATTAATGATTCTATGCGAACCAGGAAAAACCAACCTATATGTTTTGAATATTAGAATATATTTTGTTTGTGCTGTAGCAGCATTGTTATGCCAAAGTCACACAAAAAAAGAGTATCTTATGTTCAGGGTTTTGATATTGTTTAATTCAGTTAGTACAAAAATAATTTTAGACTCACAAGGTAGGTAGGTAGATAACAGAACATATTTTCATTTCTCTTTTCATTCTGTCTTTCCAATGAAGGGAAATAAATGGAAGTAAAGAAGTTTGGAATGAGACAATGAATCATGATAATTTACCAACAAGCTAGATTATTTTTATTTTAGTCATTATTATTTTATTATACTAATTGAGTTAGAATTGACCCTTCAGCTGGCTTTCAGAGGCATTAAATTGATTTGGAGGAAATTTCCCATCTTTCTAGTCTGGATTAGCTAGTGGATTTGAATAGAATGGCTTTGGGTTGGCAGAGCAGTTTCTTTACCACTAGGCAACACACACACACACACACACACACACACACACACACACACACTTATTTGTATGTATAAAATATAAGAGAGCTCAGGCATTTAGGAATAAGTATCATAGGTAGAAATTGGAAAGATTACAGTTCTGTTGTGACTATAATGATCAATGTCATAAAACAAATTGTGCGTGAATGGTTAAATGGAAAACCAATTTGCTTTGTAAACTTTGACTCAAATCACAGTAAAAAACAAAACAAAGCATATTTTTCTGTGAAGCTTTTTGGAAACGGAAGAATTTTAATTGGGCTTATTTTCTCAGAGATTTGATAAGCTATTACATAAAAATTAAAATAAAGACTTTTTTTCATCAATATAGTTTACTTAGAGTCATTATAAAATAAAATAGCAGGTTAGTATTGATGGGATGAAAGAATTTTAACCATGAACTTGTTCCACGTGAGGGTCTTGAGGCAAGCTTGGTGGTGTGGCTATCTGGCAAGGGTAGTGAAAACGTGAAGCAAAAAAAGAAGAAATACAAGTAAGATTTGTCTGTTCTATAGTTTTACATAAGTAGAATGTAACTCAAAGAATCGGAGCTTAAAAATGTAATGCATAAAATGTTTAATAATTTCAAATTAATTATATTTTTATCAGGTGGTTGCAATCTGAAGAATAAATCCAGTCAGTCATTGGAATATTGTGCTGAGTTACTGGGTTTGGATCAAGATGATCTTCGTGTGAGTTTAACCACAAGAGTTATGCTTACAACAGCAGGGGGCACCAAAGGAACGGTTATCAAGTAAGTTCCTCAACTAAAAATCATACCTTGCAGTTCTTCAGAGAGCTGAGTTGATTGTTGAACATCATTCATTCTTTTCATTATAATGTTTAAAGTCTGTATTAATAGTTCAAAATTCTGTACGTCTTATTTCAGTAAAGCACCATGTAAGTAAAATGGATTTGCATAGCTCTAAAATTGTTCTTGTATACACATGGTACAATTTTGGAATTTAAAAAATGAGAAAGTAGTTTACTCTTTGCACAACTCTGAAAATATTAGTTATATATTATATAACCCTACGTTTGACTATTTAGGTTACAAACTGTTTTACTTCAGATTTGTGTTTTTGTGCAGATGCAATGGTATATGTACCAAAATTTGTGCTATGTAGAACTGACTTCAGTAAAACACTGTGCAGATGGGAAGTTCTTTACCATTTAGCAAACGGAAATTGTGCTGACAGAAAATTAAGGGCATAGCAAAAATCAATAACCAATAATTTATAGAATGTCTGATGTATTTTTGGTTTAATATTGTATATTTTATGTATTTTTGTTGCTTGGAATTAAAATAATATTTAGGATATCATTTTTCAATATGTGTAGACACATGTTTTCAACTATGGGGAGAAAAATGTCAGATCCGGTATCACTAGTTAAATAAAACAGTGAATGTTAATGACTTACTTCTGAAAATTTTTCCACAAATTAAAGCAAGATGAATTTTTTAAAAAGTTATTTAACCTGTTGCCATTAAGTTGATTCTAACTTATGGCTACTCAACTGTGTTCCATAGAGTTTTCAAATGGCTAGTTTTTTAGAAATAGGTTGATCTACAACCAGAAGAAGATAAAATAGATGAATGGGACCTTCTAAGAATCAAATTCCTATGCACATCCAAAAACTTCTCCAACAGGGTAAAAATGGAAGCCACAGACTGGGAAAAAGTATTTGGTAATGACATGTCAGACAAGGGACTTATATCTAGAATTAATAAAATACTTGAGCACCACAACAAGGTAAAGGTAAATAATCCAATAGAAAAATGGGTACAAGATATGAACAGACACTTCACCAAAAATGACATTCAGGTGCCTAACAAGCACATGAAGAAATATTCAAAATCCGTAGCTCTAAGAGAGATGCAAATCAAAACAACTATGAGATATCATCTCACCCCAGTAAGACTAGCAAAATTTAACAGAACAGCAAGCAACAAATGCTGGTAAGGTTGTGGAGAAACTGGAACCCTTCTTCACTGTTGGTGGAAGTGTAAAATGGTGCAACCACTGTGGATAGTGGTGTGGTGTTTTCTCAAAAAGTTGCAAATAGAGATCCCATTTGACCCAGCAATTCCACTTCTGGGAATATACCCTAAAGAGACCATAACCGTCATCCAGGTAGATATATGTACACCCATGTTTATTGCGTCTTTGTTCACAATAGCAAGGAGTTGGAAACAACCCAGGTGCCCATCAACAAATGGATAGAGAAGCTGTGGTATATTCACACAATGGAATACTATGCTGCATTGAAAAACAAGGAACTCATGCAATATTATTCAAAATGGGCAACCCTGGAGGACATTATGCTGAGTGAAATATCTCAGTCACAAAAGAACAAATACTGCATGATGCCACAGTTCTAGAATGGGACTGACATTAGTGTTGGGGTAAGACTGAGAAAAACTGGATAAATGATATAATACTGCATTGAAATAGATGAGGGAGAGAACAGTTTAAAAGCGATATATGATAGCGTATTATGGTTATCACAAGAGTCCAGAATTAAGGTTGCATAGTGGAGTGTACTCGGGGAGGTGGGAGGATGCGGGGGGATTGTATACCAATGAAAAAATTTTTCTTTTACTTTTCAAAGAGAGGAGCAAACTGGGGGGGGAGGGGGGGGCAGGGAGAAAAGTGCAACAATGAATGAATGGAAATCCAAAATCTCTATAAATGTTCATTAAAATGAATAAAACAAAATTAATAAAAAAGAAAAGGAAAAAATTTTAACAGAAAAAAAGAAATATGTTGAAAAAGGTTTAGCTACACACAAAAAAAGGTACCACTAACATTTCTGGAAATAATAGCAAAGCATGCTTAGCTTGATTTTGTTGTTGTCATTGTTAAGCTAATTCCATATTGTTATTATGATAAAGAAAAATGTCAGCAAAAAAGAATGCTAAGCAGGTGCCCTACAGTTGCCTTGTTCCTTAGAGAAGACTTAGAGGCACAGGAGCCAGCCATAAAGGCTACGAATGGTCACTAGATATCAAGTCCTCCTTTCCCCTTTTACTCCAAAGCAGTTCTTTTAGGTACTTTTCTGTAGAGGTGCCTACCACATAAAATCCACTCTAAGGAAAGATGCTGTTGGGGAGAATTACAGCCACAAAACCATTGTTTAGAGTAGATTCAAGACTCAGGCTGACTTGGTTTGTTTATTTTTTTATTTTTAAATAAAATATTTTATACTGGATTGCTTGCAAAGTTCATATACATTGTTTTTTATGCTGGATCTTTCCCATTTCCTTTATGCACCCCTCCTTCCACCTATCAAATTGTGTAACCCTCTGATCACCCCCTCCCCCAATCTTTATCCCCCTGCTCCCACCATTCCCGCCTTGGATCCTCATATACATTTTAGTAGTTGTCTTTCTATAATCAAGGTCTTAAACAGTATTTGTCCTTACGGGATTGAGTTGGTTCACTTAGCATAATGCTCTCCATTCCTTCCCAAGTTAGGTACCGATTTTCAGTATCATTGCTCCTGTGTCCTGTGTAGTATTCTGTTGCGTGAATACACTGTAATTTCTCAATCATTCTATTCTGATTGGACATTTGAGCTGTTTTCATGTTCTTGCAATGCTGAATAACACTGCTATGAACATTGTATACAAATCTCCATTTGTGCTCCAGTTCTCATTTTCTCGAGGTATATTCCGAACAGTGGAATAGCTGGGTCATATGAAATGTATATGTTCAGCTTTTTGAGGAAATGCCAAATTGCCTTCCATTTTACATTCCTATCAACAATGTCTAAGAGTTTCTATCTTACCATAGCCTCTCCACTATTTATTACTTGCTGTCCTGTTAAACTTTGCCACTGCTATTGGGGTGACATGGTATCTCAATGTGGTTTTGATTTGTATCTCTCTTATTGTCAGTGATTTTGAGCATTTCTTCATGCATCTGTTGACCATTTGAATTTCTTCCTGTATGAAAATTCTTTCCATGTCTTTTGCCGATTTTGTAATTGTGTTACCAGTCTTTTTCTTGTGGAGGCCCTGTAGGATTCTGGAAACTTTTGATATGAGACCCTTGTCTGAAATGGTATTGCCAGATGCTTTTTCCCAGTCAGTAAGTTTTCTTTTCACTCTTTTGGAAAATGTTTTTAGTGCTCACAGGGATTTAATCTTTAGAAGGTCCCATTCATCAATTTTATCCTCTCCACATTGTGCCATTTCTGGCTATATTAAAGCTCTTTCCAAATTTAGCTTTTTCACCACTCGGTTCTGTGGTTCTAATATACACAGTGTCTGGAGATTTTTTTTAAATGCCAGTCTGTCTTCATAAGACTTTGTAATTTTCTTGAGAACAGAGACAGTCTGTCTGACCTTGCAACATCAAATTCTTTTAAACCTTGTAGTTAATTATATTAACCAGGAGAGTGGAAAATTCATATTTTAGGATGTAAATTCTCCCATACAACCATATAAACAAATTTCTAAACTTTAAAGTTATTCTTAATTAAGCACAATTTCTTTTGTATTTATGGAATGAGGGAAGATTATGTCTCTGAATAAGTTTTTATTATTCATCATATATGTCCCCTCCCCGTGAAAAAAGTAAAATCACCAAAACCCCCAAAATGCAAGCTTACTGATTCTGAGTAAATTTTGACTCAGAGCCACCCTGTAGGGCACAGTGGAAGAGCTTCATAGGACGTCCAAGGGTGTAAAGCTTCGTGGGTGTGGCCTCATCCTTCTTCCGTAGTTACTGTTAGATATGAAACACTTTTTAGTTAACATCCCAGTTCTTACACTACTATACCACGAGACTCATTTCAGCATTTATACTGAAGTGTAAATGAAAGTTTTAAAGACTTCTTGTCAGACCAAATGCTTGTTTTAATCCAATAATAGATTTTTAAAAAATTTTTATGTAGGTGATATTTTATCTAATGGCAGAGAATTCCTTTTATTCTTGTGTGAAAGTTTTTCATTGATCTGTATCCAGTATTCAGAGCCGACTCATAGCTGACCCTCCAATGGATTTGCAGAGTCTGTAAATCGAACAGACGGATATTGCCTGCCTTTCTCCCATGGAACAGCTGGGGAATTCTAACCACCCGCCTTTGGGTTTGCTGTGCAATTCTCTACTCACTAGACCACTAGAGTGCACCCACCCTTTTCTTTTTCTATATTTCCATTTTTTTGACTCACCTGTGACTGTAGCTATTTTGTTTTTCATAGTGAATATGTTTAATGTGGCCTTTTACCTTGGATATTAGGAATTGTTTTCATTAAATGTCACTATAAAGCGTTCTCATTGTTACTGCATTCTGTTTCAGGGTACCCTTGAAAGTGGAGCAAGCCAACAATGCCCGCGATGCCTTGGCAAAAACCGTCTATAGCCATCTCTTTGATCATGTGGTTAACAGAGTAAATCAGTGTTTTCCTTTTGAAACATCATCCTATTTCATTGGAGTTCTAGATATTGCTGGTTTTGGTAAGTATAGTTCTTATTATAAATTCTGTTTGTTCGATATTTTAAAATCTAGTTTTCCTCGTATCTTTTTAAAAAGTAGACTTTTGTGTTTTCTGATACCTTTTAATGTGATGCATTTTAAGGTGTCTTTATATTAATCTCTACATTACATAGTATGATTTGAAGAGGAAGCTGATTTTTTTGTTTTTAGAAAAAAACCAGGGACTCAGATGGGTAGTTTTGAGTCACCATAGTGGTGAAATGAAAGGAGGTATTGATTGAATCAACCATTCTTTTTTTTGTTTTTGGTTTTTTTTGGTGTCAGGAGTGGGATACGAACTGAATCAACCATTCTTAAGGCATCTTTTTATTTTTATGTTCAGTAAGTAGAAGTGATTAAGCTCTTGAGTATGCTATTCATACAAATAATTAAGTCACCAACATTCTTTAATACATTTGTTAGTGGACTTTGAAAATCAAGCAGAAAGTACAGAGAGTTTCCATTTACAGACAATAAAACTTTTGACTACCACATAAACCTGGGTAGAGGTTAAACCAACATGTCATCCAGCCTGATTATGGTATGTAGTAGTAATTGTGAAGAAGTGTCTACTTCTAATTAATTTTCTAACAAATGGAATAAGACACTGAAATAGTAATAACTGATCTAAACTTTGAAGCTATGCAGCTAGAAGTGAAGTAGGCCATCTGCATGATTGCTGCGGCTTTATTTTAAATGACTGTCTTGTGACATTCTTCAAGTATATCTGATTGATGGGGGAGACTTTTGATTGGCCTTACTGATCTGAGTGTTCTACTAACTGTAGAAGCGATGTCTTTCTCCTCTGGTTTCTTTGCCTTTGCCAAAGTGTGTGTGTCCATGCTTGGGAAGAGCAGAACTTTTGTTCATTTTGCCAACCTCTGTGGTACATTTCAACATTGATGGTAAATCATTACCTTTTGCATAAAGGTAGAGAAACACCTGAAACGGAATTTTTACAATCAAACTATTTGTTTATTGACCTTTGCCAGTTTAATATTCACACAAAGTCATAAAATTTTAGGTCTTAAATATAATTTACTACAGTTTTTTAATTTTAGGAATTATTAAGCATAGCATTTTTTAAGTTGAAAATATTATAAATTAAATTGCACAACAAAAATATTTCAGTGCACTTGCATTTAGGCAATTTTTATTTTAATTACCTAATAATATTGCTGCAATAATTATGCTATAAAGTAGATTAAATTTTGTATATTTTACCATGAGATTCCTTGCCCCATATGATAGAAACCTTCCTTTGTCAAGAGAAGGAAGTTATTTTTAATTCCTAAAAATAAGTCTTGAAAGAAGGGCATTTGAGGTACATAGAACAATTGAATTTAGTGTTGTTTTTTTTTTTTTACCTAATCCTCAATTAGAACATTTTAGTCTGTTACATTTTTATCTGGAGGTAAATTTAGGGTGTAGAATTGGCCTGATGATAATTCTGGTTTTATGTTTTCAGAGTACTTTGAACATAACAGTTTTGAACAATTCTGCATCAACTACTGCAATGAAAAACTTCAGCAATTTTTTAATGAAAGGATCCTGAAGGAGGTAATTGACATTATACTTTCAGAATTCCCTTCAGGCATTTTAAATTGTAAGACACAGAGTCATCCTCCTGTTAACTGTGACAAAAGGGTATGAGGTGAGCTCATCTCGAAATCAAGAGACACAAACCCTGTGACTCTGCTGTTGCTCAGGCATGTCCGTGTGCTAATGGTGCAGCTAAAGCTCTGGGACATCATCAGAACACTAATCGAAACTTCCTTGGAAGTAAGGATCATCTGTTGCTGTCTCTTCCTGCCATTGACAATCAACTTGATAATCCCATCATTGTTTGGCATCTCTTGCTCTTCCTCCAAATCTTCTTCTGCTAGCTGTCTCCTTGCCCTTTCAGTGTGGCAGCAAAACCCCTGTGACAGACATTTTCACGCGTCATTTGGCCTGAGGTACCTCTAGGTTATACATATATATACATATATACAGATCACACTCCTTGTGGATTGCCAGCTATCTCTGAGTGGTGGGTCCATGGCTGGGGCACCTCTCTGGTCCAGGAAGCAAAAAACCCACTATGTTGCCTAGTAACTGATTAGACGCATAGCAGCCATTTATGTAAGAAACTCATATCGTGGTTCTAAAAGGAATAGAGTCAAAGTATTTAAAAGTAGACCTGGCTCAGATGATTTATGTAGTTAGCCTCACCATTTTTTCTTTCAAATGTGACTTCTCCACTGCTTCCAGTTATTACCCTTGCCTTTCCTTCCTTTGTGCTATTTGAGATAATGTTTTACTGAATCAAAGTACGTGACTTAAATGGATCTCAGAAGTCATCAAGTCCAGGCCTTTCCTTTAAAGATGAAGAAACAAATTCCCAGAGTGGGCTGCAGTTTACACAAGGTCACAGGGATCTGAGACTGTAAACCTGGACGCAGGCCAAGGACACTAGATTCCCTTCTTGTTAATTCTGCCATTTTCTAAGATTTTTTTTCTCAACTACTGGGCTGAAACGTGATTTACTCCCCGCCCCCCCCCCCTTCTGTTCTGTTTATCTACCTCCACACAATATACATTTTGATTACATCTTTGTCCTTACAAGCTTCCCCAGGACATGCTAAAATTTTTTCTCCTTTACATTGTTTTCTATAACCAGTTGCCATTAAATAGATTCTGACACATGGCAGCCCCATGTGCCTTGATCGAACTGTGCTGCATCCGTACTTTAATGGTAGAGGAACAGACTGAGACTGACCAGATTTTCTTCCAGGGTGCATCTGGGTGGACTTTGAACTGCCAGCCCTTTGGTTAGCAACTGAGTGTGCTAGCCTTTTGTACTACCTGGGAACTCCTTTATTTATATTGTTGTTGTTAATTACCATTGAGTCAATTCTGACTTAAGGTGACCCAGGGTGTACAGAAAAGAATTACCTAGGTGGTTTATGGCCTTTTGGAAACAAATTATCACTCTTGTTTCTGAGTGAGTTTGTACTATCAGCCCTGGTGCTGTAGTCCAGCACATAGCAGTTTCCAACACTCAGGGACTCCTGTTTTGCTTTACAATCAGAGAAATCCTGATATATGCAAATAGGTAAAACCCGAGTTTCTAAGCAAGATAGTTTCTTTGCATATCTAGCTGCATTAGTTCTTTAATTACCAGATAACATTTTACATGTCTTCTTTTTTGCTTGTTGTTATACTCTGTCAATTTGGAACTGACACTTAGCTGACTCTACAGTGGGTTTTTAAGGACAGTATATGGCATGATAGGAGATTGTCCGTCCTCCCAGAGAGCAACTGATGAATTTGGACTGTATGCCTTAGCATACCCTTAATTGCCCCTTTAACATCAGTCCCATCTAGACTATAGTGTATAGAAAGAGGATCTAAGTTAGAGGGATATTGTTTCTTAATTTATATTTGATTTCCATTGTGTTTTAAAAATGCATATGTGGATTTCATATTTAAGATTGAATATACGTAGGTAATGCCGTCTAGAATTGCACGCACAACTGAGAGTATTTACTATCTGATCATTTAAAGAAATAGTTTTGAGATCCTGGGTCTATTATAAAGATGTTGTTGTTATGTGCCATCAGGTCACCTGCAACTCATAGTGACCCTGTGTACAACAGCTCTAAACCCTGCTCTATCCTGTGCCTATCTCACTGTCTCCAACACACCTGTCCAGTAACTGAATCAATCCACCTCATAGAAGCTCTGTCCTGCTCTGTCCCTGCACTCTCCCGAGCATGACATCCCTCTCCAAGGACTGGTCCCTCCTTACAACATGTCCAAAGTATGTCAGACGAAGCTTCAGAATCCTTGCCTCCAAGGAGCCTGTTTTAACACTCTCTAGAATGAACCTATTAGTTTTCTTAGCAGTCTATAGTATATTCAATACTCTTCTCCAACACCACAGCTCGAAGGTATCAATTCTCCTTCTATTCTCCCTAGTCATTGTCCAGCTCTCTGATGCATAGCAAGTAATTGTAAAGACCATGGCCTGTCTCACGTGCACTTAAGTCTCCAGAGTGACACCATTGCTCTTCAGTACTTTGGAGAGGTCCCTAACAGCATACTTTCCATCACAATGTGTTTTTAAATTTCCTGGCTGCTAGTGCCAAGAGTGTTGATTGTGGAGTCAAGCAAACAAGCTGATTACAGTCTCAAACTATTTCTGATTCTAATGATAAGTTTTATTTCAAAATTGCAAAACATATTTCACAACCCTGATCTTTGAGTTTAAATGGCCATAAATAGATTTCTCTGTTTCTTTATGATTGTTGAGGCTATTTCAAGAAAAATGTGCTTATTTTAAGATAAATCGTTATTGGCTGTTTATAATTCAATCTCACATTGCTTTATATTCTTTTAAGATATGTATTTCCCCTAAGATACTATTCTTAGCCCTAATTATACCTTGACTAACTAATAAGTGTTATGGTTAGTCATGTGTTGAATCCTCAGTCCATTTAATGTAGCTCAGTATTTCCATCTTTGTGATTATTATTTCATTTTTTAAGGAACAAGAACTGTATCAAAAAGAAGGTTTAGGAGTCAATGAAGTACATTATGTCGATAATCAGGACTGTATAGGTATGTACTATTTAACTCCACTTTTAGGAAGTATGAGGTTTAATGAATGTGGTCAGTAGTAATTTTGCTTCTCAGTAATTGTTATTACTGGGACTGGAAACTGTGATGTATGAGAGAGGTTCTGCTTCTCCAGTGCTATTGTTTGGAAATGATTTTTTCTGCCATGGTATCCAATTCAGCTATCTGAACAGTCTTTTTTTTAGAAATCTTTCCTATTTTTTTTATCTGCATATTTTCATACATAAAATTTCATTTCATAACTTATGAACTTGTTACAAAGAAATTCAGCTGCTTAAATAGTAAAGGGATGCATTAACACGTGATGAGACGTCCATAGGTTAGTCAGGCTCCAGGTGAGCTTAGCTGGGATTTGATGTTCTGTGAGTCTCTTGGTTCCATTCTCTTCTGTGATTGGCAGCATCTTCTGGCTGGCTGCAGGTTGACTTCAGGGGTTCTGTGTGCATGTCCAAATGATACTGTGCAGCAGAAGAACAAGGCCTGTGTTTTATGCCTCTGTTTTTCTGACTGTAAAGAAGCATTTCCCAGAAGCCCTGTACTTAGCAGTCTACTTTGTTTTGTTTTTCTTTTCACATCTCATCCCTAAAACAGTTACAGAGGTTCCAGTTTGACAATCTAATCAATAATCCATGCTGCATTTGTATGAAGTGTTTTAATAATAATGCTCTCTTTTATATTTGCATGACTTTGAATCAAAGCACTTCTACATCCTGCTTGTCCACTCGGCATCCCCTTAATGCACCAGATCCTTCTCCTTGACTGTGTAGTTTGATGCCCTGGGATAGAATTTCTTTCCTTCCATCTGTTCTTTAGTTCACTTCTACCTCCTCCCATGCCCATTAATGTATCTCCTTTTGGTTCCATTCAGAATACACTCTTTCACCACCACTAATCATTCTTTTAAACAACAAGAGACATCGTTATCCTGAACAAATAGCAAGTTGGGCTGCTAACCAAAAGGTTGCTGGTTCAGATTCATCAGCAAAGGAGAAAGATATAGATAGTCTCCTTCCATAAAGATGACCAGTTTTGTAAAACCAGTGGAGGTCTGCAATGAGTTGGAGTTGACTTCATAGCATTGGACTTGGCTTTGGTGTTTAAAGTTCTTAAGAGTCTGTTTCACACAGAAATTCTTTTTCCATAGTTTATTGTGATTTGAGTGAAAATTTGCTTGGCAAATTTTTCTAATCAACCATTCATACACATTTTGTTTTAAGGCATTAATTAAAATGCTCACAATATACAGTACTTGGTTTTGTTGCTATATTCTGATGATTCGAGTTTCCATTGTACCTTACCCCTTCCTGCCTTAGGAATTTTAGCCCAGGAACGTGTTACCTTTTTAATCTTGCTTGCTTGTTCTGAGGAGTGAGGACCTCCCTGGTGTCATTGTTCACCTTGGAGGCTTTTCTTATTTTCTGGCTGAAAGTTGAGCCACAGAGGTGAGTTTTCTTACAAGTTCAAAGGGTGATGAAAGGCCTTGGGAATTCCACTGTTCTTTATTAAAATCACTCAACAATTCTTGTATATGGTACTTTAAGCTGACTGCATAGAAAATTCAAACAACATTAATGTAAAGAGTAAAACTGTGCCTATCTGACCTTTATAACTTTTAGAAACTATAGAATTATGTTAAGTGTTCCTGTCTCATTTTTGAACTTTGTGATCAGTTATAGCCCACTTTTCTTTAAAATGCCTTATTTAAATCCTATTGTAAATGTTTATATTTTTATCTCATCAAAATAGATTTAATTGAAGCAAAATTAGTGGGAATTCTGGACATCCTGGACGAAGAAAATCGCCTTCCCCAGCCAAGTGACCAACACTTTACATCTGCAGTTCACCAGAAGCATAGGGATCATTTCCGACTCACTGTGAGTTCCAGAATTGACAAACCCTGGTGTTGCAGTGGTTAAAATGCTTGACTGCTAATGAGAGATTGGCATTTTAAAACTATCAGCTTCTCTGAGGAAAAAAGCTTGACAGTGTGCCTCCGGAATGAACTACAGCTTTGAATACCCTGTAGGGCAATTATTCTCTGCCCTTTAGGGTTGCTGTGAATCAGAATCACCTCAACAACAGTGCACTTGAAATGAAAAGAGATATGTTTTAAAAATGCATTGCTTTAACCTTAATTTGGTAATTAAAATTATGAGTGCTGTAGAATACAGAGCCACTTAGTAGCCTAGTGGCATAGTCTGTAAGGAGGTGGTTCCAGTCTACCAGCAGCTTTGTAGAAGAAAAGTGAAAGGTCTCCATGTAGTTCACAAGTTCTGAAAATCTGCTGAAGGATCAACTGTGAGCTGGTTCTAACTCAGTGACAATGAAGTACTTTTGTTTTGTTGGTTTTTTTTTAGTAGAGCCACTGTAATGTAAAGAGAGCAAGGGCTGTGTGAGGATGGCCAGATCTGACCTCCACCAACTCCACAAAGAGGAACAACAGGCACAACACGAAACCAGTTCCCATGGGGTCACATATGTCCCCTGCATTGCCATACCTCTTTATACACATCCCAAAACAAATCTTACTGGTCAACCGGGTCAATACCTTTATAGAGCCATATTATGCAAGTCAAAAGATCGTAATTCAGATTGGTAGCAGATACAGTCACTCAGTCAGGATAGCTTCTGAAACGTGCTCACAGGCACCACCGTCTTGTGACTTTAGTTAGACAAGTGTTACAAAACCCTTAGTCCTTCCAATTATGGCTCTCCTCTTAGTCCTCCAGAAATCTTGGGCAAAAGGTTCTTAGCCCAAGTCCATGGGGTAACAATTCCAAAGTTGTCTCTGTCTCAGGTGAGGTCTCTGGTTTGGGGCCACTGCTGTTATAGATCTTCTGGCACAAGAATCTCTGGCCCCGAAGGTCTCACACTGCATGCGTGCTTCTTCCTTGCTGGTGGTGAGATTCCCAAATTCTGCTTCTGAATCTGCTTAATTTAATTGTGAGACTGACCAGTCCCTTTGTGGGTAGGCTAACACACCATATTCACATATTCCTGCCCACCCACATGACACAGTCAAACTCAATGGCTAGGAATGCCACATGTGTTCATTATAGTATCTTCTGTAGATGAATACTTAATTTATGTATCTTTTTGATGTGGATGATCTGTATAGTCAAGGCTCTTTCTCTGTATTGAAAGGTATCTAGGCAGGAGAAGTTTCTAGAATAAATATTCTGAGGTAGCTCTATGCTTTATCTTTAAGAGAGGTCAGAAACCTTTCAGCTTCAGGATCCAGTGAGGATAAAAAGTAGATAAATCTGGTAGATCTAAGAGGAAGTGTTTATGTGAAATGGTAATTGGTAGTTGATGTGCCTGACAATGTTTGGGACAGGCGTTAAGTGGAAGAAAAATATTCTATCCAGGTGGTACTGTCTCAGTCCAGCAGCTGCTGACCGTGGTGGATATTTCCCCCTATTTGCGATATACAGAAAAGAATTACCTGCTGTCTTCATGCTCATTATTTTTAGCAAAGTAGCCATAAATTGCTTTATGTCATACGACCTTGACCACAAGCCAGTAATCATATGAAATCCAAGAATCACAAGCGCCCATCTATCTATGCATTTGTGAGACCAACAATAAAGGTTATAGTTTAAGAATTGTGTGCTGACAGGTAGAAGCAAGCCATATCAGACAGTGATCAGCCGATTAACTTTGATCTTTTAAAGGAAGTTTTTAGTGGAAAATATGCTCAGAATAGCCACTGAGCTGAAGCAAAAGAAGGATTAGCTGGAATAGAGGAGAAGATAGCAGTAGGAATAGATTAGAGATAGGTTTCTGAAAGGGCCAGAGACCTGATTCCCTCTGTTACCGTGGCTCACAGAGCTGGATTTAGACTTGCATAGCAGTTTACAATAGAACAGGTGTCCCAGAGGCTACACCATGTGACATGTTTCCTGTGCTCTCCTAATTTTATCTTTGTCTTTAAATTCAGCACCTGAGCTTATACAAACACAATTTTCTAGTTGAGTAAGAAAGAAGCAAATTCACACAGACAAAATAAGATGTCAGGTTCAGCTACAAAGATAAATGCTATCACATGTTACAGGTAACAGTTTTTTTTAAAAAAGAAAGAAAACTGCTTAATGGAATTAGGGAATTTACAGACAAATCCCTCCCAACCTTACTTTATTTTAGATTGGACCATTGTATAGCAATTATTGCTTCGGTGGGTCCAGGAGATAAATGAATGGTAGTGATTATTCTTTTTTTTTCCATTAGTGACAAGGATGTTTTGGATAATACTATATATAATGCTGTATTTTTATATACTTGTTAGACACCTTTTGTGTTTATTTTCCAGCTACATCACTCTCTACCCGTATCTCACCCTAGTTTTTTTAAGACCTCATTTTTTAAATTATATGTTGCTGTTAAGAACAATAATGTTGTGTTTTTACAAATATACCTTATGGGTTAGGGAGGAGCAAGTGGCTGGTAAACAAATGTAGAATGCCATGTTGTTGGGGTGAAAAGATGATAAAGTGGATTTATTGGAAAAACGGATGTGATTCTGCTAACCTTAGTTAGAGACTAAATCCTACAACCATGAGTTCCATTAATGTGGAGTCTATATCCCTAAGTAATTCTTGTTAAATGGAAATTTTTTTCCCCTTTAAGTTCAGTGGAGATAGGGCTAGAGAAATATATATCTTCAACAGACATTTCTTAGATTGAAGATTACCTTTTTTCTTGTCTTTGTGTGGACCAGTCTATTGCTATTTGTTTATTTAGACCAGTCTGTTGCTATTGCTCTTGTGCTGATTTGGGGTGAGTGCTTACCAGACTCACAAGAACCCATGTACACAGTACACAGTAGAACAGCTCTAGAGAATTGTCTTGGCTTTTTTTTTCTTAATTATTTTATATTGGCTTGTTTGTTCATAGGGGTGTGTGTGTGTGTGTGTGTGTGTGTGTGTGTGTGTGTATATATTGTTTCACATTATCCGTCATTCATATTAGATTTCATACAATCATTCCCATTCATTATGTTTTATAAAATTAATCATCATTAAACTATGTCTGCCATTACCCTGTCTTTCCAGATCCCTGCCAGATCTTTCTCATTAACCCTGCCCCGTATCAAATTGTGCGACTCTGTGATTTTTCCCCTGGCTCATCCTCACCTCTCTACTCCTGTATTCACCACCTTGAATCCTCATACATGTTTTATTAGTTATCTTTCTATTTTTGTAATAATGGTCATCTTATGCAATATTTGTCCTTCTGAGACTCAGTTCACTCAGCATAATGCTTTCCAGTCCCCCTCCCAAATTATGTAGTAATTTTTTAATTTGTTGCTCCTTAGCGTTGCATAGTATTCCATTGTGTGAATGTTTCATAGGGGTTCCTTAAAGCTCCTTGTGTAAACATGTTAGACTATTTGTTTTGAAACAGTGGGAGAAGCTAGTTGTAAAATCTAAAACTATAAAGATAATCAAAGAAGACAATTAAGGAGAATTCAAGAGCCTTAATCAATGCTATAAAAAACCCCCATCAAATCTAACTGAAAATTCATAATCAGCAGAGGATAAACTAGATGATTGGAATTTCCTGAAAAATGAACTAGAACTCCATAGCTCTGGTGGCCTAGTGGCAAGGAGTTTCACCACCATCTAGAAGTCATATAGTTTGAGGCCATCAGCTGCTTCTTAGGAGAAACACAGGCAGTCACATTCTCTGTTGTTTACTACCTCTGAAAACTCAATGGTGGGTCTGCTGTTGGTTGGTTCTGACTTGATTGCACACAACAAGAAGAAGGTTGAGAACCACTGTTTAGCAATGAGCAGATGTAAAAGGCTGAGTCTGACTTCTGTTACGCATAAAGAGCTGGGGCCCTGTGGACTGTCATATCTGACCTCTGCTAACTCCACAAAGGGGAAACTGGCACTATCAACAGCATCCACAAAACTAACCCAATTCCCCTGAGGTCAGAAATGTCCCCCATGTTTCTGCACCTCTTTCTACTAATTCTAGTACCAATATTATAGCTTTGCTGGGTCCAAAATCTATTGCAGTAGCTTACACAGCACACAGAAACATAGCAGCATTCTAGAATTTATTGTAGAAGTAGAAAAATCTATAATTCAGGTTAGTGGCAGGATACAATCTCATTTGGTAACAGTATGCAATTTCTTAGTCAGGACAGCTTCTGAAGTATGCTCACAGGCCCTTCAGCCTCAGGGCTTTAGGCCAGTGTTACAAAGCTCATATTTCTGCTAATTATGGCTGTCCCTGCAAGTTGTACAACAAGCTTGGTCAAAGACTCCTAGCTCTGGTTCTGTGGCATAGCAGTCCCAAGTTTAGTGCTGTCTCATGCCAAGTCTCTGATTCTCTTCTGTGGGGGCCACTCCCATGAATGTCTGGCCCCAAAGGATGCACTGCTTTCTCCTTTGCTGGTGGTGAAGTTCTTAATTTCTCCTGCTGAATTTGTTCAATTCAGAGGCAGGAGTAGTCATTCTGCTTGTGAGCAGACTAACCCATACTGTTCACATATTCCTGCTCATCGACTTGGCAAAGTCAATAGCTAGGGTGGACATTTTGAACAATAAGCTCTTAACACTGTGTATTATTAACTCTAAAAAGGGGAACTGTCCTCGTCAATAACATCCGTAGTTCAAAATAATAGCCACAAGGTCAGACATGGCCCCCCAATCTGCTGCATCTATGTCTATTAATCACCAGGTTGCAAAAGTTGTGGGGTTTATTAGGGAAACAGGTTGTGGGAGGTGGGAAGAAGGCAAAGGATATCAAAGCACTCAGGTTTAGTGCAGCATGAATGTAAGAAACTTCTGGTTTCCTAAGTCATCCAGGAAGTTTTGTATCATAGCATTCACAAGCCAGGTTTGGTTGTTTTTTGTTTTTTTTTTTAAATTATTTGGAAGCAAAACCTTTATCTCTGATTCCGACTCCAGGGCTCCATTAGTCCATGCCTTGCTACAGTCTCTCTACAGTCTGACCAGCTCTCCCTCTTATGTTGGCCCCACAGTTATTGATGATGTAGAAGATACTGATCAGTGGATTAAACCTGTGTCTCTTTTTGAGGCAACTAGAGACCATGCCTCCAGAGGGGGTAAGGCAATGGCTATAAAAACCATTTTAAAAAGTCCTGACACCACAGAAATGGGCTTTATTAAGATATTTACTGGCTTTGGCATGGGCCTGCTATTTTTAAAAATTGTCTTACTCTTTTTCCCTTTCCTAAGAAATTGCAACCATATATTTGCTAGATTTCATTGATACTTTAAAATTAGATTTTTAAAAGCAATGCTAAGTATGAAAAGATCTATAAATTGGCAGATATTTTACATCATAGATGTAATAATAAATAAATGAAATTTATTGAATTTTTTTTCATAAATCAGTAACAGATATATGTTCTCTTTCAGATTCCCAGGAAGTCTAAACTGGCGGTTCATAGAAATATCAGAGATGATGAAGGCTTCATTATTAGGCATTTTGCTGGAGCAGTGTGCTATGAAACAGTGAGTGTGTATATATATATTTTTTTTTTTTAATCAGGAAAAAATTTGATGTTGTAGCTGGGCTGTATAATTTTATGGGCTACATTTAATTTAAAAAAATAAATAGAATTAAAAATTTAGTTCCTGAGCCATATTACTTTCACTTCAAGTGCCCAGTAACCTTGTTTGCTCAGGGCCAGAATATAGGAAAGCTCAGAACATTTTTATCATCATTGTTACTATGGTATACTGAGAAGGTAATTCTTGTGGCCTAATGGCAAGAAGCTCTGCTGCAATCCCGAAGGCACACGGTTCGAGGCTGCCAGCAGCTCCATGGGAGAAGAATGGGCCATCTCCTCTGGTGTGATTAACTGCCTCTGAAAACCTACCAGAGGGTCAGCTAAGAATTGGTTCCTACTCTGCCGTGCACCACCACCGTCACCACCACCACCACCACCACAACAATAACAACAGTAACCTGATGGGAAAATGTCAGACTACCCCTTAGGGTTCCCTAGATTGAAATCTTTTGGTTAGTGGGTTTCTGGGGCTTTCTCCCATGGAGTGTTTGGTTTTGTACTGCTGAGCTTTTCGTTTTCAGCCAAGTGCTTAAGCATTGTGTCAATACTACTAGATTCCTTTTCATCGTCATAGTTCAGTTGGAGAGTGCTTTGTTAAGGGATATTATTACAAGATGGACTGACACATTGATATTTGTCTTATTTTTCAGACCCAGTTTGTGGAGAAAAACAATGATGCTCTCCACATGTCTCTTGAATCCCTAATATGTGAATCCAGAGATAAATTTATACGGGAATTGTTTGAATCATCCACGAATAACAACAAAGATACAAAGCAAAAAGCAGGAAAACTGAGTTTCATCAGTGTGGGAAATAAGTTCAAGGTATCTGTGTTAAAGAAATTTGTTTTTTAAACTGTGTTCAAGATAACAATATTGTTTTATACTCTAAAGTGAATAATGTAAGCCATTTGTTATAAATGTCATCAGTAAAGCTTAATAGCAGTCCCTTCTAGATTAATAATTGTATATACAATGTCATAAGGTAGGTCTAATAATTGAACATACAGAAATGCTTGTAATTTTCTGAATATGTTCTTTCTTGATGCTTAGCATATCCAATTGCCTTTCCTAATGTTCTTGCTTCTGCTTACTGTCCAATTGACCTTCCAACCTTATCTTTCCCACTTGTTTTCTGTTTCCTTCCTTATTCAGCAGTTTTGTTTTAGCTGGAGTAGTCCAGCTCGAGATGGCTAGAGAGAACTAGTTGAGTTGAGAGAGGAAAAGCAGGCACAGCCAGGGGCTTCAGGTAAATGATCACCTTCATGGACTCCTATTTCTAGAGTGGCTGCAGTGTTACACAAAGAGCCCGCCTCAAATCAGTGATTCAGTTTGTAATTCCTTTTAAGCGTGTTTTCTCTAACACTGAGTGGCATTATGAGTGTACATTTTTACACTAAAGTTGGATTAAAACTTTTAATAACTGCTGTGAAAAATAAGAGCTTGAGTGCTGCAAACCCCTCAGGTTGCTTTATTTAACATGGAAGAACATTTAATTTGTTTTATTATGTTTGGATAGAAACTGTTCTTTCTGTTCGGTTAATGAATTGTCACAAAGTATGTGTGTTAGGAATGGAACATTATTGATTTTAAGTAGTGATTTAGTTATTATCATAGGAAATAAGATGATTTAAAAACATTTAGGTCATAAGTTTAATGAACAAAAACCTTGAATATAACAAAGAAATGGAATTAATTTTATTTGTGTATTTCTGATTGTATTTACAAAAGAACCTTAAATATGCTTTTAATTAAAAAGTTTTAAAAATATGTAGTTAGGAATAAGATGTAATTATCAGAATAATGTTACATTAACTACTATTATAAACTTCCTCACATCCTTTTGGATTGAAATGAGTTCTAACTGACTTGATAAAATAATTTTATAAAACAACAACAAAACAACCCATACTGAAAAAATTTTATAAAAATGAGTAATTTTAACCTTAGAAATAAATATAGAAGAAAGCTTATGATAAATGCCTCTTGAAATGACTCAATAAAAAATGTTGTTGAATTAATCATGATACTTCCTTCTATGAGCAGTAATTTTTCTCTTACTTGAATATTCTTAAATTCCTACATAGACACTTGATAAAAAATTAGTATAAAAATAGTATATTAGTCTACATGGAATAGATGTAATAAATATCTTCCTACCATAATAGTACAGAATATACTTTTATATTCTTTTATATTCAGAATATATTTTAGATAATGAAGTAGAAACAAAAGAACACTTAAAATTAATTTATGGATTAAATTTCTCTTATATTAAAATGCCCTTTAATTGCTTATATATAACAAATAAATTTTGCATGTTATAGTGCCCCAAAAGTGTAACTGAGTGGCATTATTTATAGAAGAATATTTTATGTGTTTTTCTCTCAGCTACTCTGAAATATTAATAATGACTTTTAATTTTAAAGAATCCACTTAAAATAGACAATCATTCATTAAATTTGAGATATGTGAAGCAATTAAAACAACCCAGACTGTGGTCTGCATTAATATTTCAGATACGCAGCGCTGTTGTTGTTCGGTGCCATCAAGTTGACTTCGACTCATGCAGACCCTGTGAACAATAGGTCTGAACCTTTCCTTCTCCTGCATCATCCTCCCCATGCCTGATACACTCAAACCCATTGTGACAGTCATTGTGTCAGTCCATCTTGTTGAGAGTCGCCTACTCTTTGTCTGATGCTCCGCCTTTCCCAACAAGATGCATTTTTCCAAGGACTAACTCTTCCTGACAATATACCCAGAGTATGTGAGACAGTTTTACCTCCTCAGAGATTGAGGACCAAAAGTCTTCCCAAGAAGTTATTTTTTTTCAGGTTGTTAAAACATAACCTTTTTATTATCAGTATTATAGAAAAATTTATCCCTTAGCAATGTTTATTGCTCAGTCATTACTAAGATGTATTTATGTGTTTTAATAATAAAAAGAAAATGAAAATATAATATTAATTGTATATAGCTATTATCCTTGTCCTTTTGGCCCTTGACTATGTTCTTTGATAGTTATCTTTCTCTATTCTTAGCTGCTATTAGTTTATTTGCTGCTGCTTTTCCTCTGTCTTGTTTTATCTCCATGGTTTGGGAAGAATACTCTGTTTAGTCTATGTATTAATAAAGTATGGACTCTTAAGACAGTTATTTTCCTCCAGATTAGCAGCGCTCTTTTGCCTTCTTTCAGTTGTATGTTGTCCATCAGAGAAATAAGATCATAATTCTTTAACCCACTGACATACTTGATCCGTTTTTTTAACTTAATCCTACCATGTGATGTGTGAAGTATATTGTAATCTCAGGGATAAGGGAGAGAGCTTTGTTAATAGGTCTATATTGGAACCCTAGTTTTGCCAATACTAATGCCATAATCTTATGATCTCAGACAATTATTATAGACCTCAGTATTCTCACCTGTAAAAAGAAAACCAATATTTCATGCTTAATTAGAATTAAACTTGATAATGCACTTTAAAAACTTGAAGCAGCACTTGATTCACAAAATATATTTGGTACATAATCTACTACTATCACTAATTAGAACAGGAAAGATCTAATATTTTAATTTTATAATTAACTTCTTAATTTGTATTTTGTAAGTGAATTTTGCAATCAACAACAACAGCAGCAGAGTGAATGTGTCTGTATAAAATCAAGACATAAAACTTTTAAATAATTAATTTAGAGTGTGGTGTATAAACAATTTTAATATATTGAATCAGAAAAAATTATTATAAGGTAATTAGTATTACTAAAAACAGCATAGGATAATAATAGGTAGTATTTCTTATCAAATTTTTATATGAGAAGATTGTTCAAGGCTGTAAAAGTTTTGCAAAATATTTTTCTTTTATTTTAAAAAGGAAAAATGATTTCTGCAGCAAGGCATAAGAATGAATCCTGCTATTAGTGTATATTTTACACGTTTTCATTTTAATGGCATGTGGCTCAGACTAAGTTTGTTTGCCACATAAACATATATTGTTGATCTCTTTTTATAATGTACCCTTAGTTTTTCATTAGTTCTTTCATTGCCTGTACACATTTTTTCTAATTTCACCATGCCAGCAAGTATGCATGTTTGTTTTGTGGATTTGCTAATTATCAGTATTCTAACTATACAAGTTCTCTATATAAGTTTAGTAAATAATTGTCCTTGGCGTTGTGTTAATCATTTTGCATGGTGCTGCCTGTTAAAGAAACTGAGATGTTATATGTGGTTATTGCATGCTACTTTATTCTTAACTTGTTAAACAGGTATTAACTGATGTCACTGTGTACTTTTGCTTTTTTGAAATAATTTATTTCTTCTACAGACTCAGTTAAATTTGCTTCTGGATAAACTTCGAAGTACTGTGAGTACACATAAAATAATTAAAAAAAATTGTCCTTAAGATATTATCAATAGTTAGCTAAGTCTCAGCTTACTAGAACTAGAATAATTAGAAATTTCTTTTTATCCCAATTTTTTTTCTTTTTAAAATAATTTTGTTTTGAAAAAATAGTCATTTATGTTACATTTGTTCTGAAGAAAGGCCAATCATGTGAAGTCATATTATTTTACAACTACATTAAAATTTGTTGAATAATATTAAACTTCAATAATTCCTCATGTGGGGGATATAAATGAAACATGATTCTAAGTTAAAATTTATTTTATTAAATTGAATTTCATTAACTTCCTCTTCAGATTTGAAAACGAAGTATTTACTCTGTCAGGACTATTTTGCTTATTGTTAGACTTACATTTGAAACCATTAAAAATTGTTTTAAGTTTCTTCCTTGACTATTCTAAAGTGGTGAGGTGACCTTTGTGATATATAACAAAAGGAATTTCCAAAATGTTTTCTGAAAGTATAAGTTTTGCAAGGTGACTACTTTAAAAAAAATAAAGATTATTTGAATGTCTCTTAACCTTAATACTCAACAATTACATAATCAGTGGTCTCTCTGCATATTGAACATAAACTGATAACTGATTGCAAATGAATACCTTTAAGCTTTTAAGTGTATTTCTTAAACAGCTTTAAAAATATGATGATTCAGCTTAGGAAACTTGAATATTTTTATAGTAAAATCATTAAAACTTGATTTTTTCTTTTTTAATTTTTTTAAAAATAATTTTAATGAACATTTACAGAGAATTTTGATTTCCATTTATTCATTGCTACACTTCTCTACCCACCCAGCCTTCTCCCCCCACCCCCCAGTTCGCTCCTCTCTTTCAAAAGTAAAAGAAAGACTCCCTCCCTGGTACACAATCTCTCCGCACCCCTCCCACCGCCCCAAGTACATTCCACTGTGCAACTTTAATTGTGGACTCTTGTGATAACCATAATACCCTATCATACATCACTTTTAAATTATTCAGTCCCTCATCTGTTTCAGTGCAGTATACACAATTTATCCAGTTTTTCTCAGTCTTACCCCCACCCTGATATCAGTCCCATTTTACAGCAGTGGCACCATGCAATATTTGTCCTTTTGCCACTGAGATATTTCACTCAGCATTATGTCCTCCAGGCTCACCCATTTTGAATAATATTGAATGAGTTCCTTGTTTTTCAATGCAGCATAGTATTCCATTGTGTGAATATACCACAGCTTCTCTATCCATTTGTTGATGGGCACTTGGGTTGTTTCCAACTCCTTGCTATTGTGAACAGAGCTGTGATAAACATGGGTGTGCATTAAAACTTGATTTTTAGAAACTGGTTTGTTTCTGTTGTCATGGGATATTTTCTTATAAGAGAAATATAAGTATATAGTGCAATGTAGCATAAAATGACACGTTTGTTAGCTTGTGAAATAATTGAAGTGAAATGTACTTCCAGAAATTTTGACATTCTAACCTTATGTATAATGTTTATTGGTATACAGTACAGAAATTCATTCCAAGCTCTAAATTATAAAAGTATGCTAATACAGTTTTAAGTTGCACAGTGATTATTTTAAAGTTTCATGGGGTAATGACAATATGTTCTAAGAGTCAACTGATATTCAGAGAAGTAGAAAATGATGAATGCTCTATGGTTTGTCTCAAATTCCCCATAGGGAGCAAGCTTTATTCGTTGCATCAAACCTAATTTAAAAATGACAAGTCACCACTTCGAAGGTGCTCAAATTTTGTCTCAACTTCAATGTTCAGGTATTTTCATGTTTTTATTATACATATCAGTAATCTTAGCTCACATTACATTTTATAAGGCACAGTGCTTTCAGTAATTCATGGTTATCTTGATTGCTTTTATGTGTAGTAAGTTTTTATCTTCTATTTCCATTAGTTGTTAGAAAAGCATGGCTGGAAAATTATTTGAGCTATATGAGGTTTATTATGAAACAAAGTTATTTTATAGCACTGAAGTAAAATTAGTAAAAACATTTTTTCCTTCAGTGGGCTGGTCGTTTGTGTCTCTCAGCTCAACAACATTCTTTTTTTCTCACTCTTCTTATAACTCAGGTCAGAAGGTGGTTGAGGGGGGCCTTGTTTTCCATTTAGCATCTTCTAAAAAGCTGAAAACTGTACAATTCTCTCAACTTCTGTGAAAGTTACATACATTTGTCTAAACTGCCATATCTTACCCTTGGCTTTCTCCTGTCTGACTCTTTTTTGTGCTCCTCTCAGAGGCAGACTAATGTGAAACATAGAATGCTCCAATATCAGGTTTTCTCATTAAATAAACCCTCCCAAAGCCTTGCACTTGGTTTTTCTTTTTTGTTGTGCTGGGAATGAAAATTACAAAGCAGATTTTCACTGAGCCATCCATATATATTTTATTTTATGACATAATTATAACACTCACAGTATAAACAAGTTCTTTCCACTGTGTGTCTCTGATTCTCATTTCTTGCAGTTTTTCTGTCCTACCCCTTCTTACCTTTTGAGCTTTCTCTCTGGGGAAATGCTACCCTCTGATGTGGTTGCTTATTCTATAGAGCGAGTGCCTCCTTTGTGTTACTGTTCACTTGGTGATATTGTTTGATTGAAAGTTAAGCCAAAGAGGTGGCTAAGCATCATAGTTTGGAAGGTTCCACAAATCTATTTCACACCAGTAAGCCTAGCCATTTTTGTTTTTAATTTTGCTGCACATTTTTCCACCTGTACTTTTGTGAGTTTTTGCTGTGAGTCTAATTAGAATGGTTAGTAGTGGTAACTTGGAAACATCTTTATTCCAGATAAGTGTACTGATAATTCAGCTAAGATTGCAGTGTTAGTCAGCAGTCTGGTTCAGCATATTAAGATATCTTGGCAGTTAGTAGATGACACCAATTCCTAATAATTTGATTTATTTTTGAGATATTGATAGTAGTGTAATGATTCAGAATTTGTATGAGATACTTGGATGAGGGGAAAAAAGCATAAAGATATTAGAAGTTTTCTAAAATAGAGATTTTTAAGTTATAAGCTTATACATTGACTTCATTCACTCATTCATTCATGTATTTAATTTAATCTTTTAAGGAGGAGTTAGTTAATGTAGACTTTTATTAAAATTTCTATTTTCTGATGAACAAACACCAGGACAAAGTAAAGGAAGATGAGAGAAGGCAGGTCTTCTGCCAGTGTGATTTCAGTGCTGTACTGCTGTCTGTCTGTTTAGTGGAGGTGGAGGCCAGCATGTAATTGGCCAGCATTGTGCTAAGAAGCTCCCCACTGAACTCCCTGAGAAAGAACCAGGCCATAGGGTCATCTTGAAGGGAGGGGACTTCGTTAGTGACTTTGAAAGATTAGTATAAATTAGCTTTGAGTGCTGAGAAGCAGTTGTAGGCTTACTACTTAGTTGTTGTTGAGTAGAGTTGAGTTAGAACGGACCTGTCGCTGACCCTTCAGCAGGTTTTCAGAGGCAGTATATCGCACAGGATTTGATTGCTCATTTTTCTCCCTTGGAGCAAATGGTGAATTCAAGCTACATGTCTTTTGGTTGACAGCACGACTTTAGGTTGACAGCCCATAGGCTACCAGAGCTCAGTAATTAGTCAAGCTTCATGAAATTCCTGGTGAACTCATGTGAATCAGTTTATAGTTTGTCTACAGCTACATGATAAGCCAAAGAAATTAGAAGAGACAGAGACATACATTTCCGAGGGCTGTTGTTCATTTGTTATGAGTGGGGAAAAGTGTGATACTCTCCTCCAAACTTTACTTTTATCTTCTTATTTTTGTTTTGCCACACAGAGCTTAAGAGTTAAATTTAGTTCTATATTTCTGTTGTTTTACCCACTGGGAACTTTATATGTTTCATTGTTGTTAATGTTGATTGCTTTCAAGTCGAGTACAATTAAGCCCCTCTACAACTATTGACATTTATTAAAGTTTATAGAATTTCTGGAGGCACATTATTTAGGAAGTAGATGCCACTCCTGCTTCCAAACCTGTCATAGTATGTTATTGTTGTTATTTGCCATTGAGTTGCCTGTAATGTATAGTGACCCTATGGATAGCAGCTATGAACCCTTCATTAAGTGTAAAACATTGTAAGAGTTGTATATACTTACAGTAATATAAAATTGAATAAATAGTACAGATATTATAAATGTAAATAATATAAAAATGAAATAGTGTAAAATAGAAAGGAAAAGTCCTTCTTTCTGAGATTGACCACTTACCTATGTATTTGATTTTTTTTTTTATATTGACTAGAGCTCTGGCCATCCTTTAAATTAATTCAACATACTATATAATAAGACAATGTAATTTATTCCACTAGTCTTGTATTAATGGATATCTAAGTTAATTCTATTTTTCCTATTACAAATAGTGATCCAGTGTACCTCTTTACCCATCTGTCTTTGCACATATATTTAAATAAAAGTAGACAGTACTGAATCAAAGAGATAAATATTTTAAAATTGACATTCCAGAAAAGTTGCACTGGGTTCGTTTCACCAGGAATCATGAGTTTATATTTCTACACCATCATCAATTCTGTATACTACTGGCCATTCACATCATTACCACTCACAAAGGATAAAGTTCATCCTTTTAAAATTAAAGGCCATTTATTTTAAAAAAGAAAATATGCTCATTTTTTATATTTTACAATTTCATGGGTTTTAAAAAAATTAACATTTAAAGTAGAGTTCTTAATAAAAAGTAATAACCCAGTGCCATTTTGTTTTCCAAGTAGTTAGTGATTTGCTGTAGAACTTTCTATTGAATAATCTTTTCTGTTTCTTTGAATAGCTGCAAAGACTGACAGCCACGTTGTTTTATAAAGAGATTTTCTGACACTAATGTAATTCTTTATAGCTGTAGAACCTTTTCTTGCCTAGTTTACACTTTGCCTGACATGAAAAACTCACACTGATTTGAACTAAAATGAGCCACTTACTAGAGTTATTTGTTTAAATTTGACATTCAACCTACTGGCACTTTGTCCTAACAGTGTAGTTTCTTTGAGAGGTAAATGAAAGAAGTACAGTGAAATCCTTACTTCTTTCTTTTCTATTTACTTTCATAAAGCATTCCAGAGAACTTACGAATATGTCTCAATAGTTCTTGGAAATTTTATCAGAAATCTTGTTCTTACTGTAAAATTAATCTCAAAAGACTAAAAGTGGCCTAATGTAGGTCATTGCCTCATGTACTGTGGTGTTGATACAGAGGTGTTCTAGTGGAAGAGATACAAGTTTATCAGTCTTAGCTACTGTCAAGTCAGGGCCCCAATTCTTGGTGATCTCATGGATAATAATTGGCCTTTTGTGATCCATAGTGCTTTCACTGACTGATTTTTACAAATTGATTGCAACACTTTTCTGAATGATATATCTTAGTTTCAAAGTTCTGATGAAAACTAACTTTAGAGCAACACACAAATTCCACTAATGGGTGAGTGGTTATGGCCAGGAAAGGAACCCAGACCCTATGGCATGTAAAGAGACAATTCTATTAATACTGCTCTCTTAAAATAGTTTTAGGCAGTGGATACACTGGGATGGATTGAGATTAAAAACATTATTCTTACTATTTAAAATGGAGAAAATGGGACATGAGGGCACAGGGCTATGAAAATATCTCTGAAAGGGCCAGAGAAAGTCGGAATAGCATAGCCCCTGACTGCCCCAGAGCAGAAAACAGATAAAGAGCTCAGAACCCAGAACCTTGGTGTCTCTAGAGCCACACCAACAAACAGCAAGAGGTTTTTTAATTTGTTGTTGACTGACAGACTCAGAGTTGTAGTACTGAGAATGGGATTTATTAGGGCAAGTGAAGAATATCCCCAAGGAAGTCCAGATTTTAGCCAAAGTCCCAAGGCACAATTCTTCAATTATTTCAGGCTCTTGTTTCAGTTCAGCAGTCAAATTGAAATCATCCAGCAGTGTTTGCCTCAGAGCAGTTATATGTCAGCTTCTTCTCCTTCCAGCATCTAGCAAAACTTTTAACTGTGGACTTTATCTCAGGGCTTGTCTGCTTACACCTTACCACAGTTTCTTCACAGTAATGCCACAATTTCTCTACCACCATGGTCTTTCTCCAGTCTCCCTAAAGTCTTGCTTACCACAAGTCTTGCTCACCTCAAGTCTTGCTGCTGTGTGTGGGAAACACTCTTTCTCTTATCCTAGCCCCACAGCTGTTGATGATTTTCAAGACAATGCTACATTGCAAGACCATTTGTCTGAAATTAAGGTAGCTGGGGACCAGAGGAGGCTGACTTTAATGGCTGATAAAAAGCCAACTTTTAGGCTAATACCACATCTACGTAATGTTTTATTGTTGATAATTCCTTTTCGTAAACATTAATCTATAAAATTGATCATTGACAAGTTATTTTTTTAGACTGCTTAGTTATAGACAATTTTCTGTTTGTTTACTCTAGGTATGGTGTCTGTTTTGGACTTGATGCAGGGTGGCTTTCCATCACGAGCTTCATTTCATGAACTCTATAACATGTATAAAAAGTACATGCCAGACAAACTTGCAAGATTGGACCCCAGACTATTTTGTAAGGTAAAAATATCATCCAAATATAAATTCTTTATGTATAAACTATTCTTTCTATGATTTTCCTGGGTTGTTTTGTTTTGTTTTTTTACGTATCACACTTATACTTTTGTTTTGCAGGCACTTTTTAAAGCTTTGGGCTTAAATGAAATCGACTACAAGTTTGGGTTAACAAAAGTATTTTTTAGACCTGGCAAGGTAAATATATACTTATTTTAAGCTTTACCATGGTAAACTTTGATATTTGAAAATAGTGACTGTTTTCAGTGTTTAGTGATTGGGTTTTTAAATTTTTGAGTCTTATGATCACTTTGTGCAACAGCATGTGCACAAACACATACACAATTTCCCTCCTTAGAAGAAGCTTACAATGTGTAAACTATACAGATTTTGGAAATCTTAAGCAGTTTTTAGAATTTGTGAATTGTTAATTTGGTTTATTTTAAGTACTTGGATAAAATTAACGCTAAACACGTTCATTTTTAAAATATTTAAAGGTTTTCTAAGACACACTAATCACTCTTTAATGATTCAAGATTTCACAGCAGTTTTTTAAAATTTTTTTATTTTATATTGTTTTGCATACAGAATTCATCATATACATTGTGTCTCATATTCCCAAACACTGGGGCTTTAAAAAATTCATTTATTTACTTATTTTAATCTGTTTATTGTTAGCTTTATTTTTTAAAATTGTGGGTTTTTTTTTTTAAACTTGTGTTTTAAACAAAAGTTTACAGAAATGTTGGATTTTCATTCATTCGTTGTTGTACATTTTTTTCCCTACCGTCCCCTGCCAAATTCACTTTTTTAAATTAATGATTTTTTCAATTCACTTTTTTAAAAAAAATTCATTAATTTTGGCATAATTTCCTACCCCACCCCAGTCTACTTTGCTATGCATCTCTTGTTCTGGACTGTTGTTATACAAATAATGTCTAATCATATATTTCTTTTAAACTGTTCTTTCCTTCATCTCTTAGTTTCCCTTCAACTCCCATGTCAATCCTGTTTTATAATGGTGGCATTAAGCAGTATTTGTCCTTTTGTAATTGAGATATTTCAGTCAGCTTAATGTGCTCCAGGGCCACCCATGTTGTGTAATATTTTATGAGTTCCTTGTTTTTCAGTGCTGTGTAATATTCCAATATACCATAGATTTTCTATCCATTTGTTGATGGGCACTTGGATTACTCCCATCTCTTTGCTATTGTGGATAACACAACAATAAACATGGTTTGCACATATTTGGGTAGCAGATCTGGTTTCTTTAGAATGTATACCCAGTAGTGAAATTGCTGGGCCAAATGGTATGTCTATTTCCAACTTTTTGAGAAAGCTTCATACTGCCTTCTATAGTGATTGCACCATTTTACACTTTCACTAGCAGTGATAAGGGTTCCAGTCTCTCCACAACTTCATCAGTATTTGTTGTTTGCTGCTATGTTGAACTTTGCTATTGTTACTGGGGTAAGATACTATCTCATAGTTGTTTTGATTTGTATCTCTCTGAGAGCTAGGGATTTTGAACATTTCTTCATATGTTTGTTATCTAAATATTTTCTTTGGTGAAGTGTCTATTCCTATCTTGTGCACATTTTGCGATTGAGTTGTTTATCTTTTTTCTTGTTGAGGTGCATACATTGTGTTTTACAACATTAATCCTCATTGAATTATGCTCATTATCCTGTCTTTTCAAATTCCCATTGGATCTTTCCCATTTCAGTTACCCCTCTTTCCACCCATCAAATTGTGTCACCCTGTGATATTCCTCCCTGCCCACCTTCACCCTCTACTCCCATTCCTTTCCCCTTTTGAGCCCTTATACATGTTTTACTAGTTATCCTTCTATTTTTACAATAATGGATTTGTGCGATAATTATCCTTATGAGACTGCATTAGTTCATTCAGCATAATGCTTTCCAGTCTCTCCTATGTGGCAGTTTTTAAAATCATTGCTCCTGAGTGTTGTGTAGTATTCCATTTTTGTGAATGTACCACAATTTCTTGATCTATTTGATTGTGGATGGACATCTGGGCTTATTCCATGTTTTTGCAATTGTGAATAATATTGTGCTATGAACATTAGTGTACAAATCTCTGTATGTGTCTCATTTCTAATTTCCTTGAAATATATTCCTAGGAATAGCATAGCTTGGTCATATGGAATTTCTATGTTCAGCTTTTTGAGGAAACACCAAACTGTCTTCCAGATTCACAGCACTTTTGAATCTTTTTTGTGAGAACAGATTCTATGAAAGCATGATAGATGCCTAAACTACATTAAATAAGGATAAATTTTGTATTGACATCTTTCAAATCCTAGAATGAGAAATGTGTAAATACTTTTGTATGTAACTTTTTTATATTATTTTTAAATTTTTTAATTGGTTTGCTTATATACAGTGTGTTGCACTCTATTCTTCATTCACATTGTTTGTCATATAATCATTCTCATGAATTATGTTTTATACAATTAATTACCATTGGAGCCTGCCCATCAATACCCTGTGTTTTTCACCCTAATCCTTCCCATTTGCTTCACCCCCTTTTTTTAGATTAAAACATGGCCCTGTAAGTTTTGATATAAAGAAATCTTCAGAGTAAGTTGTAAGACCATAGTAGAATATTTAATATCTAAAATGTATGCAAGGGCAGCTCTTGACATGTAGTCCATAGGGAGTTATGCTGCTAATACAAAGGCCAAGCCTCTCTAGAGGCTCAAATCCCTCAATAGCTTTGAGGGAGAAAGAAGGATAATCCTTTCCCAGATTATTTACTGTGAAAGCCCAGTGAAGGAAGGGTCAGTGATGATGAGGTGCATACATTGTGTAAGAAAGGAAAAAATAAGAAATAAATGCTATACAGAAATATCTAAATACTACACACAGTTGGGTAGTCATGATATTTTTCACCACCTCTAGTTTTTTCAATGTGGATTGGATAACTACATCCTCATAATTGTAAACACTGTTGTTACTATATTTAAATAATATTTTTTCTTATTTGGGTAATAATTTATAAAATCTCTAGTTCTTTGAATGCTAGCTTAATAATAATAAATAGATAAATAAATATAATTTTTCTGGTTTGGGATAAAATGTATGTATGTGTTTTATTTATAGCAAGGTATGTCGTTTCCTGTGAATAATTTTATGTCAAAGGACCCTTCCGTTTCCAATAGAAGGGGAAATATGTTAAGGGAAAAAGATTTTATGTTTATTTTTTTATTTAGCTGTAATCATATGTATTTACCATAAAGTCAACATATCTATTATTTCAGAGCTATATTAGTAAGAATTAATAGCTTCAAAGAGGAAACAGATGGTTTTGTTTGCGTCCTGAAAAATTGATTAATTGAGAGAATATGTTGAAAGATCCAGAGATCTATACTATAAGGTCATTATGAGACAAAGATCCAGAGATCTATAACCTCATTATCTTTCCTTTAACTTTGACCCACATGGAAGCCAATAGTTTGATAGCTGTGTGGCACTCATAATACAGTAGTGGGTGATTTGATGAAAGATATAAATTATAATAGAGTTTGGTGCTGAATGTAATAATTTTATTCAATCAGACCCACATGCAAATTCACTGCTGTTGAGTCAGTTCTGACTCATACCAACCTTCTGTTGGGTTTCTGATGCTTTAAATGGTGAAGAAGGAGACTCCCTGTATTTCTGCCATGGTGTTGCTGCTGGGTTCAGTCTGCTGTAGACTCTTCACCTTTGAGTTAGGAGCACCAGTCACTTTGGATTACGCCACTAGAACTCCCTTATATTTATCAGTAACTAAATATTTGCTTTATTTGTGTTGTCTTTTAGTAGTAATTTCTGCCTCTGACCAAAATGAGATTGGAGTTAGGAGAGAGAATACTTTTGGTACTATCTGATACTCTTTAACCAATCTTCACTTATCAGGAGTGATATCTGAGAATATGAATGAGCAGTAATCAAAGATTATAATCATCTTTTACAGTTTTTTTGTCAATAGTATTTTTGCCATTACCTGTATTTTACTATTTTTTTTTTTTTTGTTAATCAGACACTATTGTTGAATGTTGTAATCAGCAATGGTCTCCCTTCTTCCACACAAAGTTACTGAAAGAAGAAAGAGAAAAACACAGTCAAATGTAGCCAGTGTGTTTTGGATTTACTATTTATTCCACTGAGATATGTGGCCATTTCCAGAATGTTAGATTTTTGGACATGTGTTCCTTTTATATGTTTGTGTGTGTGTTTAGTATTCTGCATCTCTCTGTGGTTTTTAAATGAACTTATCCTTTGATACTGATATTAAATTATTTTTACTTCCTAGTTTGCAGAATTTGATCAGATTATGAAGTCTGACCCAGACCACCTCGCAGAATTGGTGAAAAGAGTCAATCACTGGCTCGTTTGCAGCCGCTGGAAGAAAGTTCAGTGGTGCTCACTTTCGGTCATCAAATGTAGGCATTTTCTCTCACACAGGACTTTGCCATTATTTCAGAAATGAGTTGAGTGAGATGCTGCAGTGCTGCCTCAGTGGTGAACATGGCATGATAGAACTGCTTGTCTTGGTCATGCTGGTTCTCTTTTCCCTCAGCAACAACCCATATGTAGTCTCTGATGCATCAATATTTAGAGACTCCATTTCTCTCTCACACACTCTCTCTTTCTATGTGTGTGTGTTTTAGCATTTAATACTTACTTTATCTGAATGTGTTAAAACCTACTAGTTGTCATCAAGTTGATTCTAACTCATGACCACCGTGTGTGACAAAATGGAACTGTGTGATAATGCAATAGAAGAGAAAACTTCATTTCCAAGCTTATTCACCCTTGTCTGTACAACCAAACCCAAAACCTGATTGATGAATTCATTTAAAAAATATACCTATAGTAACATTTCTTGAAATGATACAACCCAGCAAAGTTTGGAAAACATGGTGGTATTATGATAATGATGCCCTTTAAATGTGAATCTCATGGTGTAATCTGAATCAACTCAATGGTGGTTCCAAAACAACCACCACCCCTACAACCTATGTTAATTGACACATTTTTTTTAAAACATATTTTTTGTTAGTTTGCATATAGTCATTTATATACATTGTGTTTCATGCATGTACATTGAGTTTTATACAATCTTTGATTTATATTGTGTTTTGTTTATATACATTGTTTTATACATTTATTTACAGTATATTTTATATAATTAATTACTGCTGGTCTGTGCCTTCTATTGTCACCCCATCTTTCCTATTATTTCACCTTTTTCTCTCATCACACACTAACCTCTGTTACCTAGCAATTTCCTCCTTCCCATTTAACTGTGGCCAGCACAGATGCAAGAAGCCTCAGGTACACCT